ATATGCATATCAACTTGCCATGGTCATGCATGTCACACAGAAAAAAGGAAAACAAAGCTAAAGAAGTAAGAAGAAATCAAAAGGTTCACAAATGAGGCATATAATCCAAATAAATCTCAATCGTCAAACAAATGATCGTTTGATAACAACATCAACGATCCCAGGTTCCATAGAACCAATGCAAATAACATCGAACTATTAAACTTCTTCTTAAACTAATCCTATACTAAGCACTCAAAGAAAAAGTAAAAGAGTAAAAACAAGAAAGGTCTCACCGAGAGGTTGGCTTACAAGAATAAAGGAACATGAAATTGAAATCACCAAAAGTCACTCCGCTCTAAGCTTCCAAAAAGCAACCTATAAGGCAAGACAAGACGCAAAATAAAGTATTAAAAGGGAACAAAGAAAGAAAAAAAAAAGGAAAAAGAAAGAAGGGGGAGAAAAAGGGTTAGAAATCCTCCGGGTTGCCTCCCAAGAAGCGCTTATTTATAGTCTCTAGCTTGACCCTTCACCTCATTCAAGGTGTATTAAAGAAGATTACCTTCATCAAATTGAGTATGGAATCATAGATGCCCCTATTCTTGAGAACAATCAATCCTTGAGGTCTCACATCACCACAAGGGAAAGGAGGGGATGAATCAAGAGCCAATAGTGGCTCATCTTTTTTCTTTTTCTTCTTCTTGTTGTTTCTTCTTCTCTTTTCTCTCTTTTTTCTTTTCCTTATAAGAGGGGGATTAATATTGGAATCATCAATATTAGGAAGGGCAACCTTACCTTTCTCAAGAGAGTCTTCAAACCAAGCGGGAACTTCTAGGAAGTCATCACACCTCATGGTCTCCTTATCCTTTTCCATAACTTCCTTGTCAAGACCACAATTAATACTAACATCACATGCCACCTCAAGATTTTCTTGGTTTGAATTACTTACATCGCATGGAAGTAAGCTCTCAGTAACCATCTCACAATCGACCACATCGACTCTACATACACTCACCGCCATACGGATCCTCAAAGCAACATTACCAACTAGCTAACTAGGAAAGGGAATCGAGCCTTCAAACTCGTTTGGTTCGCTAAAATCAAATGTCTTCTCATCTTGTTTTTGAAACTTCTTCTCAACCACATCCTCTACACCCTTGCCCTTCTTGCTCTCATCCTCCTTGCAAAATTTAGGTTGGAAAGTATGAGAATGGTTAGTTGATGATTGTAAGGGGAGTTTTGGGGTTGAGTGGAGAGAAGAAATTTCGGCTAGTTGGGAATCAACAACTTCATTGTGAGATTTTTTCTCTTGGATTTGTTGAGTAATATTTTGAGTTTGTTGAAAATTTTGGGTTTGTGTGTGGTCGGGTGGGGATTGTTCTTCATATGCTTGAGGATATAGGTCATGATGTTGATCTTGAAAGTTCCATATTTGGTTGGAAGGGTAGGAACAATTTTGGGTTGGTGGATTGAAGAGAGGTTCATCTTGGGGGTAGGAGCTTTCTTCCCTTAGAGGTTGTTGAAGTTGTTGGGATTGAGCTTGGGTTACAAACTCTTCTTCTCTCAAAGTCAAAACCTCACCATGCTTGGGATTGAACTCTCTACAATAGGATGCATCATGATCCGTCCCACCACAACAAGCACATGAGAAATCAATGATTTGTGAAAATTTTGAACCTAAACCAACACTTGAGTTCAACTTGGAAAGACCCTTATTCAAGAGCTCAACTATGTGCTTAAGTTGGCCGACTTTCTCCAACTCATAAAGATCTTCTTGCTTTTACTTGGGACCTTCTTTGACATCCCCAAGAATAGCTAGTTGCCAGTTCTTCAATTGTTGCTTCAATTTGGCTTTGAGGGATTTTAATCAATTGGCCACCGGTACCCGCATCTAGAATAATCCTTTACATTGGCTCCAAGCCATCATAAAAAAATCTCATAAGCAAATTATGGTTGAATTCATGATGAGAACATGCTCTAATCAAATCCTTAAACCTTTCCCAAGCTTCCCCAAGAGTTTCATCCAGATCTTGCTCAAAGGAAGCTATCTTCCTCCTCATTTGTGCGGTTTGCTCATCGAAAATGAACCTCTTGAGAAACGTCTTCGCAACTTCCTTCCATGTGGTGAGAGAGTTGGGCTTCAAAAGCTTGAACCATTTCTTTACTCTTCTGGTGAGAGATTGCCAAAAGAGATGGATACGAATATATTCTTAGCTCACTTCATTTGTTTGCATCATTGCACACAACTCAAGGAACCCGTCCAAATGCTCAATAGGGTCTTCACTTGCACCTGCAAAAAATTGCTCAATTTGTACCATCCTAGCATATTGTGGATGGATTTTTTAATTAGTCTCAGTGGTTGGGAGAAGTATACCACTCGTGAGCTCATAGATTTCTGGATTTCCAAACTCTCTAAAATAAAGGTCATTCTCTTGCCTTGCCATATCTTTCTTTGAACACGACAAAGCTAAGCACATGATTAGCAATGACAAGTAGGGTTAAACAATCAAAACAACATGAAAAGAAAATAAAATGACTCTAACAATAGCAAAAATAAATGCTAAATAAGCCGCTTCCCCGGCAACGACGCTAAAATTTGATCGAGGTCAAGTAGGTCGTAAGGACTACTAACCCTAACCAAATTAGAAATTTTTAATACCTAAACTTACACTAAACTAGTTGGTGGCAAGTAAAGGGTCGAACCCAAAAGGAAGCAAACTAGTTTAAACACCAAATTCACTAATGCAAGAGTCAATGGAAGTATATATTTGTTGAGTTTCTTTGATTAAAAACACTAAAACAATTAAGAAAAAAAGATATAGAAGGATTAAACCAAAGGGAAACAACGCTAGGGGGGGATACGGGGGTGTCAAACACGATTAAATAAAGATGGACAACAATTATTATCATGAAGAACAAGCCATAGAATACTAAATTCTACTTAAACAACTCACTCTCACGCAATTGTCTAAGCAAATCTCTTAACCTAATCGAGATCACTTTCATGCATCCAATTAGACACTTATCAAATTGAGAGATTAAGAGTTCTTAATACATAAAACTCTACTTCAACAATTCATTTTCATGCATTCACTAACGTAAAGGTGATCTAATCTTAATTTAAATCTCTTATGCATCTAAATTAGGGAACATCAAACAATGTGCTACTAATAATCTTAAGTCATCAAAATCATACATTCACGAACTTATAGCATGATCTCAACCAAATCATCATCAATCATCAATATTAATACATGCTTTTCACCCCCTATCCCTAGCAAAAAAACTCAGCCTAGGGGAGAGAAACTAACAATGTAAGAAAGCATAAGTAATAAGGTTAAACATGGAAATCAAACCAGCAAGAACAATTAAGCAGTAACGAAATAACAAAATAATAAATAAACAAAATGAAAGCAATAAACAAAAGTAAAGAGATAAGAAGAAGAGATTACTAATGGAAGATTTGAATTGACAAAGCTTAAAGAAAATCAAAGTGCAACACTGGAGAAAATCCTAATCTTCACTACTATCTCTCTCTAGATTACTCTAATATAACCCTAATCCTAATTAGATCAAAGAGAAAGTAAGACAGAACTAAGAAATTGGATGATAAAATGTCTTAAGAAGGTCGTACAATATATATACATCCCGAAAAACTGAGAAAAAATGAAACAAAACCTTGAGAAAAACCCAAAAAGCGGCACCTGCGGGGCAAGGGCCGCGACCACGGTGGCCGGAGAGTCGCACCCACTGGCTGGCATCTCCCAGCCATCTACTAAAATTTGGAGTGGCTAGGAGTGCAAGGGGCTGCGCTCGCGGTGGCAGCAGTCGCGCCCGTAGTGGCTGGGCCGCACCCGCGGCGGCGCTGCTTGCTACTGTGGGCTGCGCTGCTTGCTGCTCGTAGGCTGCTGCCTGGCTGCTCCTTAGGCTGCTCGTGGTTGCTTCATAGCTTACTTTGCTTTAACGCTTTTTCTCATGAAGACTCCGGCCTTCTCTCAGGTCATAAATATCAAGGAAAATGCAATTACCTAGACAGTATAGAACACGAGAGAGAGTGAAAGATCACAAACAAAAGAACGCAAAACAAGCTGGAAACCGAGCAAAATGCATAGAATTGCAAATTAAGGCCTTAAAACATAAACTAAAGCATGATTAACAAAAACGAGACTAAATGGACAAGAAATAACGTGAAAGACCAAAATAAACCTAAAACAAAAGGAGAAAAACGCCCTAAAATGTGTCTTAAATGATACTTATCAACTCTACTTGGGAGAAATACATGAACGAGGTTTATGAGTTTTCCTAAAACTCATTGGCGACTCCTACTTGATTTTACAAAAATGCGTAATGACATAATCAATTCTAATTCAAGGTCCCTCAAATAGTCAGGAATTCAAATCTTAATACACCCTAACAAATATAAAGTCATAGGTTTTTAAAGGGCCATGGGCATTTAAGGAGAAAGATTTTCTACGATGGGTACACCCTCCTTACAGCTGTCCAAATTTAAAAGGTGATACACTACTACATTTTTGATCTATTGCAACCCCTAAATTCGTTATATTAGGCATCAGGCATATGATACCTAATGCCACGGCATCAATGTTCCGTTGCGTTACATCAATACCTGATGCAACGGCAATATCATTGTCGTGGCAATAGCTATAATACTTAATGCCACGGTTTCCTATACCTAATGCCACAGTGCATAATAATAATAATAATAATAATAATAATAATAATAATAATAATAATAATAATAATAATAATAATAATAATAATAATAATAATAATAATAATAATAATAATAATAATAATAATAATAATAATAATAATAATAATAATAATAATAAATAATAATAATAATAATAATAATAATAATAATAATAATAATAATAATAATAATAATAATAATAATAATTATAATTATAATAATAATAATAATAATAATAATAATAATAATAATAATAATAATTACACATGAAGCTATATAAATGTATCAAAATAAAGGAAATTTTTATTGAAATTTAAAAATTAAGAGTATATTTATACAATTTCGCACTCAGAAAAATTAGGTTACATATTCAAATATCACTTAAAACTACATGTTTATTCGTCGGAACATGATTTTGATATTGTTAGAAAAACTAAATTACAAGTTCAAAAATCTTCAACTAAGCCCAAAATTCCTCTACCTGGCTCTCCACCTATGTTTACATCAGAGAAGACTTGCACTACATTTGCTTGCATGTCTTAAACCTAGTCGAAATGTAACAAGATCTAACAACTTCATCAGCGTGAAGGTAATATTCAGGCCTACTACAACAAATGAATATTCGCAAATAGCCCGATCTGCATTTAATACAAGAAGATAGTGCATGTCAGTATATCACATACCTATTTAATACAATAAAAAGCAAAAAGGGAAGTAGGTTTGAGTAGTGAGATAGATGACTAAAACAGCCTAGAAGACAGAGATGAGGTCCTAGATCGATCACAATAATCTTCTTGTGGTTCTTTTGTGACTTAATTTAAGATCATAACACAATAATACATATTTAGTAGAAAATCAACCTTGATTTCAACCTCTATACAACAAAAACGCAAATCTTAAATATAAAAAACTCCATCCTCTTTACAAATTAATTCCAACTACAGAAAGAGAAAAAAGGCAATCAAAGACTTACATCATAAGCCTCAGATAGCAACTTGAATTTAACTTCAATTTCCTTGATTGTGGTGTTTCTCACTCTTATTTCCTTCCTCTGAGAAGATAATAGATGAGCTTGGGCCCCGAGTGAACCCAATCTTTGACTTATGATTTGGGGTTGTTAGCTTCCTCTTCAGAGCGTTTCATCACCCGAATTATACAATATCCTCCAAGCTGCTAAACTGCTTCTTACTATCATATAATTGACCATTGCATTTTTATAAACAATCAACTCTAACTCCATTGCGCATTTTTATAATTGCGCATCCTTTGGAATTGATGGTTTAAAAAATTCAGGAATAATCACCAAAAATATTCAAGGATTAGCTTCTTGGAACCTATCCAACTCAATAAAAATAGACACTCCAGAGGTTAAACTTAGCTTACTTTAATATAAAGCCACTACAATTATGATGTAATTGGCAAGGAATTATAAATGCAGACAAGAAACACCATAAGAAGATAAGGCAAACACACCTACTCTAAACAATTGAAAACTAACTCCCAAGCAAAAGCTAAGCGTTATGTATTCTATTTCATCCACACATATAACAAAAAAAAGTTCAAATCTCACACAGACAAAATCAATCTCATTTATCATACTTACATGGCTAGATATACAATTAGCCTAGATAGCCTAGATATCTAGTATGATAATTTTTCAGAGAGAAATCACAAAAATTTTGAGGTTAAAGAGGTACAAAGAACCTGCATAATAGAAATGGTTAGGGTCTATCTTAAATATCAGTAGTCCCATGGTTTTGTTGTGATGAAAAGTGACCTTTAACATTGGCTCTAGCTGCAATGACAACCTTAATGTAAAGAAAAATGAGTAAGGGAAATTATTGAGGAAGGGAAATCAATATAAATGTAACCGTATAAATTCATACAAAATAAGTGTTTTATTTTGTTACTATAAGTTCGTCTTTTTAAGTTTCTATGATTTAAATTGTGTGCAACACCTCCCTGCACACAATAACTGCTTTAATGGAGAACTTTGAGTGCACTTCAATGGAGGTATAACATAATGCCAGGGGAAAATGAGAAAAGAATGAATAATTTCTCTGATCCTGCAGACATACAGGGGATGATTAAGGAAAATCCTTCTAATGAAACATGACAGCATTACCATTAGCTTTTGTGGTGACAAATACTTATAAATATTTAGTAGTTGCGTCAGTGCTTGGTTTTTCCAATAAATGTTAGTTTGCAAAGGTGTAGTTCTGTAATTCTCATTTCTCCATGAACTGCAATTTCAAGCTCCACTACAGTCCTGTTTGAGTAGTGTCTTTGCAAATAAGTAGATAGTGCTTGATCAGTGCTCGAGAGCTAGACTCAATATCACAAGTTGCGACAAAGACCAACACATACTCAATACTCCATGACACATTCTATAGGATAAAATGAGTAGTTTCTAGACTTGATACAATCCAAGAATTATTTAAGGCCAGTTCATGACCATTACGGTAATAGTAATAATTTCCATGAACATTTTAAACCTATCACTACATTTTGGGGCTTACAAAATTTCTTTCCACTTTCTCTCTAGTGTACAAATACACACAAACACACTCAAATTCATTTTTAAAACAAGCTAAAACCAAACCACATTACTCCCAAAAAATGCATCTAAAGGGTGTTCTCATGAATTGAAGCTATTTAAACTGCATTAGTGAGTATGTTACCTTTTTTTTGGGCTTGGCATTTCTATAGATTGAATGTAAGAGTAACAACTGTAGCTTCATTCCCCTAGTAAGCTCCTAGTTGTTGCATTGGCTGCTACCATTCCACTACTAGTTCCTACAAATCATAATGAATAAGTTCCACAATGTTTCCTGCTGAGGCTATAAAGTGAGAAATCACAGCACACATAGGACAGGAGAAATTAATTTCCACCCCTTCGAAAATTACCCAAATACATTACTTGAGTCAAGTTCATAGTACAAATAAATCTGATAAAAAATAAAATAAAATAAAAAAAACCCACAAAACATTTAAATTATCAACAAAAACCATCAAAATTAAAACCATAAAACACAAAAACCCCAACTTTATTAGCAAAACCCATCAAAATTTACATGCTTTCCCTAGTCACTCGGTTTAATTAAGAGTGTGAGTGTTTTGGATACTATGACATAGGTTGTTGGGGCTGATTAAATAAAATTTCAGCCATAAGATTAATTTATAACTAGAGCCTTTTCCATGAAAAAAAAAAGAATAACATGAACTTATCAAAATATGTCAAATGGTTATAATATTTTAGATAACCCACAAATCTACTACTCTATTCTAAGAGCATAAATTCATCCTTCACAATAATCATCCTTTAAGATATCCATATTAAATACAAATTCAATAATTTAATTGAAGTTCTCAACACAAAGCTATTAAAAAACTGATTTCTAACAGAAAATTTAAACTAAAAAACATAATATAAAATATGGAAAACCATGAAGAAAACAAAGATATATTCAACAAAAATCGATCAATTATTAAGCTAACTAATCGAAAATTATATTTTCTGTAGATAATTAAGGGAAATTTAGTAATTAATACCTCGAATTTGGCTTAAAAGAAGAGTAATACAAGCATTGATGTCAACAAGTTAAATAAGGCGAGCAAACATTATATTTTTAAGATTTTATTCCACTCCATCCATGACTAAGAAAGAACACCTTTGTTGAGATAAGTCGAAGCTCACATACAATCTGGTGACGAAAATTGAGGTTGAGGGGAACAATTCGCTCAATAATTTGCTATCCAAATTGCCAACTTTATATCAATTCACCTATACACCGGCATAAAATAAAAATAAGAAACCAAAATTAGAAACCCCAGAATGTTCTATAATACTCAAATAACGAAATTGGAAGCTAAATGTAAGGGTTTACCTCGTAGTTATCTTTAGTAAAGGTAGATGAACCTTCGAGCTCGGTATTCAGAGCTTCAACCGGCGTTGAGACAACGGTGATTTTTTTTTTTTTTTTTTTTTTTTTTTTTTGAGTAGGACGACGACTTAGGAAAAGAAAGAAGATGGAAGTAAATGAGGAGAGAGAGAAAATAAACTCACAAAATTAACCCAATAGGTTTTGAAATATGGGGAAAATAAAGGAGGGAAATTAATTAAAAGATACGATGCCTATGTAGTATTCCGTACTTAATATTTTTTTTTACCTCATTGAACGTCGCATTAGACCCCTCTAACACAACGGTTGTAAATATATCGTTGCATTAGAATGTAGCCGTTGCAGTAGGGTATGCTGTTGCAACGGTTATAAAGAGTCGTTGTATTAGATTCTTTTATTGCCACGGTAGTGTATGTAACCGTTGCATTAGCTCTTTTCCTGACGTTGCATTTGATCGAAAATGTAGTAGTGATATACTGGGCAAAGGAGCAAATTGAAATTGGAATTGACCTTGGAATCTTTTAAATTGAATCTTCTTTGGCAGGATATTAACTGCAGATCTACAATCTTGTAAATGGAATCAAATTGGTGAAGAATCTTGTAAGTGGAATCAAATTTGGATTTTGATTTTTGATAAAATTGAGGTGAGTTTTTAGAAAAGCCTATGAGAAGATGTCGACGATTTAGAATAAACCCGTATTTTCCAAATAAATTTTGGGAAATTTTAGGAAGAAGGTTGCGAAATTTTCCAATTTGATAAAACCCTAACAAAGAATGTCGGTTGGTTAAAAATTTGGGAGATCGAAATTTTTTTAAACATGTAAGTGAGTGTAGTAAATCCCGAAAAAAAGACACAGAAATGACATTAGCTAGGACGTCCTGAACTTGAACATCCACATAAGCAGCTGATGTGGCCTTAGTAACATGTCACCTAATACGCAATAGCAGATGTGGAGCAAGAATTACATTCTTGTTCCCTTTTTAGTAGCGAAGTTTACGAACGTACCCCTTGATATGCTTTTTATTTTAATTTAAAAAGTTTCTCTTTTGAATTTCTTGCTAATTTCAATTTAATTACGCATTATTAAAGTATTATATATATACATGTGTGTGTAAACAATAGCAAAAAAAAAATAAAATAAAATAAATGTTCAAACTATGTTGGGTTGACCTGAATCCAAAACTTTGGGTAAGGGTTGAACATTTCTTGATTCGTAACCTAAAATGACCCAATCCGAAATGACTCATGATCGACTCTAATTAACAAGTCTACATAGTAATTAGATTGTGAAGTATATTATTTTATCATAAAATTCTATCCAAATAGAATTCTAAGCTAACTTTTTTATCTTACGAAATCTATTTAAATCTATCCAACTTGGCGCGAAACCTGACAGAAGTTGGAACGCCAAGTGTTGTTGTCCCGTGACCAGGCTAAAAAATTTAGCTTTATGTATCAGTTATATGATTTGTATCTGTGAAATATTGGTAGTGTTTGGGGTAATTTTACCCTGCCATGTGGTCCAACCAGAAAGTGACACATGTCACCCCAGGGTTAGTCCAAATGGACCAACCCCTATTTGACACGTGTCATTCCAGAGAAATGGGAAAAAGGCGGCCTTCATGGCCCAAATACCGAGAAAGCCGCAATGCGGCGCAGCCCACCAATGATTAGGGTTTGATGAACTAATCAGGGGCACAATTCCCAAGGACCCTATAAATAGGGAGATTTCCTCCATTTGGAGGCACGTTTTTTCCATTGATTACACATTTTACTCTTTGAAAGAGACATCTTGAGCTTGAAATCCAAGCTGATACCCACCTAAATTTCCGCACCTTTTTACTCCTATTCAAGTTACTAACTTGATTGTTGGAGGTGGAGCTCCAACCACCCGGAGTCTCCGTTTGTTTTGCAGGTACAGCTCACGCCGGATCAGACTTTGTGACGTAACTTTTCCAAGGGACAAAAATACCCAAAACTGGTATCGAAAATAAAAATCTAAACTAACAATTTTATCCTAAAATTCTATCCAAACAGAATTCTAAACTAATTTTTTATCTGATTAAATCTATTTAAATATATCCAACGTGGCGCGACATTTAGCAAAAAGTTGGAACGCCAAGTGTCACTGCCTCGTGACCTGACTAAAGAAGGCTAATCTAAGAACCCTCTTCTATATAAGAACCCAATCGTATATAAGACCAATCTCAACCCTTTATTAGTTTTGATCTAACCATTTAAAATGATCCTTTAGTAATGACATTTCTGTAATTTTGAATAGTTCATATTTAGAACATTGAAGAAAAAAAATTAGAACATAGGAAAAAATTTAGAACATAAGCAGAAAAAATTTAGAACCTAAAAAAGAAAAAAAAAAATTCGAACATAGCAAAACTTTAGAACATAAGCAAACTAAAATTTTAAACATAAGTTGAAAAAAATAATTAGGAAATAAATTTAGAACATAAGCTGAAAATATAATTAGAACATAGGAAAAACTTTAGAACATAAGCTGAAAAAAAAATTTAGAACATTTGAACAAATTAAGAACATAAGCTAAAAATAAAAGTTTAGAACATAGGAAATAATTTGGAACATAAGTAGAAAAAAATTACAATAAGATATTGTAAAAACTTTAGAACATAGGCAGAAAAAAATTTAGAACATAGGAAAAAGTTTAGAACATAAGGTATTCTTACATAAGAAAGGGTTCTTAAATAAGAAGGGGTTTTTACCGGATCCCTCTTTTATATATATATATATATATATATATACTTCCTCCGTTCTTTTATTATTGCACCACTTGCCTTTTTAAGAATTTTCACAAATATTGCACCATTTCCTCTTTAGAAAAAAAATTATTTGTGTTCACACTGAAAATACCCAACATACCCTTGCTTTTCTCACACTTATTTTTTAGTTTATCAATATGTCACATGGGTAATTTTGTATTTTAACCTTTCTCTCTCTTACTTTTTTCCACTACCAAAATATTTGACTCAATTCCTATGGTGCAATAATAAAAAAATGGAGGAAGTATATATATATATATATATATATATATATACTACCTCCGTTTTTTTTAGTTGCGACTTTGAGTTATTATTTAAGAGATATAAAATATTTCAAAGTTACAACTAAAAAAAATCGGAGGTAATATGTACGAAGTATATAGCAAGAGAAAATCTATGCTTTGGTGATCATCAAAACTGAAATTTTGGGCTTGGTAAATCTTCTGCACATGTATAACCCTTTATTACTGGTATGTCTAAATGTCTAATAACGTTTAACATTATACTGGATACAAAGATAAAATACTTACTGATCTCTACAACCCAACTCATTTCTGAAGCAACGTAATTGCCTCGCGAGTTTACTTCTACAGCTAGTATGACTTACATTCTGCCAACAGGGGACAGAGGTGGATGCGGGGCATGCTTTTCAGGGCCTTCATTTCTAATTAGGGGTGTACACCGGTCCAAAACCGGACCGGACCTGGACCGGACCTGTTTGGACCGGGGACCTGAATTGGGTAATTATGAGGACCCAGGACCGAACCTGAATTAACAGGTCCGGTTCCGGGCCAGACCTGAAAAATCAGGTCCGGTCCAGGTTTAGACCTGAATGGACCTGTTTTGTGTTTTTTTTCGTTTTTTTTTTTAATAAAAAACCTATTGGACCTGCATATGGACCTGTTTTGTGATTTTTAGACCTGTTGCATAATTTAATAATTACATACAAACCAAAATTATCAATCACAAAACTAAATAAAGTCTATAAAGTCCTGATTCTCAAACACCAAAAATACAATTGAATCCACCGAAAATACAAATAAGTCCACGAAAACTCATAACATTACATAAATTCTCTTAAGTCTCAACTCTCAAAGTCTCAAGTACTAGAAATACAAAAATTCTCCAACGAGTTGTTTTCTCTTTGATCGCGTGATTCACACTAATGAGTCCACGAAAACAACTTCATCGTCTACATCGTTAGATTCACCACGTTGCACCTCTAAATAAAATACAATATAGAATATATTAATGATTGATAACAATGAAATAATAAATTTGGTGTAACAAAATTTCAAGTACATAAAATTATTACTACCTTTCTCTATTTCCTCTAACTCTTTCAAATTTTCTTCCACATCAACAATTGGCACTTCCTTAGCTCTAAGCCAATCTTGTGTGCAAAGTAGCGCTTGAACCATCTTCAATACAAAAATATTACACAAATATGTATAAACAAAGTCATATTAAGATATAAGCAAACTTGATTTTATAAAATAAAAAGATAACGATGCATTACCTTAGGAGTTAAAGAACTCCGAAATGGATCTAGAGTACGACCTCCCGTACTAAAAGCATATTCCGATGCAACGGTCGATAATGGGATGGCTAGTATGTCACGTGCCATGCGATTAAGAATCACATAACGCTGACCATTCTTACCCCACCATGTCAATGCATCTTGTTCTTCCTCCTCCGGCCCTAATTGATCATTTAAGTACCTATCCAACTCACTTATCGCATACCCACTTGTCCCCTTCAATCGTTTTGCTCTTTCTTTTAGTTTCCTCACATATTCGGAACCCACTCCTTTACTATTATCAATATCCATTGACATATTATCTCCACAATCTGGAATATTAGATAGCATACATTTTTCTATATTCCTCAAATAAAGAGTAAGCGAACTCCTTCACATCATTAGCAAGTTTTGTACCCTTTTCCGGTCCATGCATATCCGTTAGTGTCAATTCAACAATGACCATCTTAAAGTGAGGGTCGAGAAGAAGAGCAACATAAATGAATTTATTCATCTTATCCACATCCCCCCAATACTTATCAAACTTTTTTTTCATTGCAATGGCCATAGCTTGAAAATTCAAGTCCTCACTTTGTTCCCAATTATTCAACATATCATACATAGAAGCAATTTCTCCTAAACCTTTATTAGCTGTCACATAATGGGAACCAGAAATTCGTTTAGTCAACAGATAAAACCCCTCTAGAAACAAAACTAACCTCTCCACTTTTTCCCAATCTTTGGGTTCGGGAGGCCTTTCATTGTCATTCAAATGCTCTCCATCAGGAAGAGATAACCCACTAAAAACACGTCGAAACTTCAAAGCCGTTTCCAACATTATGTATGTGGAGTTCCAACGAGTGGGGACATCAAAGGATAAAGAAGATTTTGAATCTATGTTTGCTTTTTGCACAAGATCTTTGAATCTAAGTATTCTTGCAGGGGAATTTTTAACATATTTCATAGCATTTCTAACTCTATCAATGCACACACCATGTTCTTTAATACCATCCCACACAATTAAATTAATGATATGAGCAATGCATCTAACATGAAGATTTTTTCCATCATTAATACATCCTGTTCTTCT